ATTGTCACTGATTAGAGCACGATTGGCATTTGCAGGGTTGCATTTAAACTGGCCAGCCCTCAAGTGATCTATGAGAACAGGAATGTTTCTTAAATTCAATATCCAGTGAAGGTCCAAGATGGTTCAAAACAATGTGGAGATACATACAGAGCGAGACAAATTAATGGGAAAGTTTGGCTATGCTTGAACTAGCACACAGCCCAGGGCCAGGGCCCATTTTTTTGGCTCTAAATCCAGCCAGGATGCTCTGGCCACAGCTGTAATACTAAAACCTTTTAGCCTCCCCAACGAGGTGGCTGCCTTCGAGCTGCCACAGGAACAAGTTTGGGACTCTGCTCATTTCCAAACCACGGCTGGGACCTGTTTGCAACCACACTGGCCAACCCTGCTTAAAACCAACTTTGCTGACAATTTAACAGCACCAGTGTTTAACAGGCCAGGCTCTACCACTGTGTAACTTACTGGTAAAGATATTTATCTCTGGCCATTTTAGTTCAGAGGGGTGGATCTGAAAACTTTTTCTTCAGAGGCTGAGCCCAGTGTGCCTCTTATCTCAGTATGTTCCTCATCTGTCTCAGCATGTCCCTATTCAATGACACAGTAAATACAGAGACAGTAAAATCTACCCTGCATGCTGCAGGGACTTCAGGACATGAGACAGGAGACTTTGGACATGGTGGCATGAGGCAAGCATCCCCATCTGTCATTTATTTGCAGAGTGTGAGCCTGGGGCTGGAAAAGGTTTAGTGGTTTGTCCTGCTATTTAGATCCAGTTTTCATGTTCTCCTTTGTCATATGAGAATTTGTCAAACACAGTTGTATAGGATAGGCTCTTCCACAGCCAGCACTGAGCATGTTCATGTTATACTTGCAGGGTAGGTCCTCTAGAAGCTTAAGACCTTGACTCCACAAGTCTCTCAAAGGTGAAGAAAAAGACTAGCATTTAGGCAGACGGGTGAGAAGATCCAGCAAAAGTGCAGGAGAAGTTGTTTCCCCACCTCCCTTCTCAGGAGTATTCTCAAAAAAATTAAATCCAAGCTCAAACCCTGCAATCGCAATTGCAGAGCAGGTAGAGGTCAGGGTGAGGCAGATCACAGCAGGGTTAAACCAGGACTGAAGCGTAACAAGACTGTGACATGGATATGTTTATGGCACAGTTAAATCATCTTTTAAATCACCTCACCAAAGGCAGACTATCAGATCAGACATGCCCGTACCTGAACTACTCACCTAGGCTCGCTTTAGAGCCCGTGGAGACAAACAGGCTCTTCCAAGGCACTGCCAGGGACCAGTGCAGCTCATCTGCAGACTGGTCCAGTCCTGTGAATGCCAGTTTGTCCCCCCTGACTCCAAACTGAGCTTAGACCGACTGTCTCAGATATGGATGTCTACCTTTGGGAGATCTACACCCGCACCTCCTCCACCTGCTGCAGAGCAGCCCTGTTATGACTGCAGGAACAACCCGACCTGTACTCCCTGCTCTGAACCCTGCATGTGCTGAGGACTTGCTGGATCAGTCCCAAAGCTTTATGTAAAATGGCTGTGATGTGTATTTATATGAATCATATACATTAATTACATAATAGACACTCCTGCTCCCCATCCCACATGCACTTTGGTTATGTATGGGGCACAAAGACTGAGTGCATTCACTGTGAATCACGCAATAAGACTACATCCCTCAGGCAAAACTCTCTCTAAAATGACCATGTTCATATATTCCCATGGTTTCCACTATAATATTATTTAATTAAGAATATTAATCTGCTGGGCCACCAACTTTCACTGTCTTCTGGGGAAGTCTGAGCAGACAGACATATTTTAATAAAATATGAGGAATTCTGCTCTTTTTATGACTAAGTTGGTGAAATTAAGTCAACTGCATAGCCTCGTGATCCTATTTTTTATTTATCCTTGATAGGAACACAAGACTTACATTCCAGAGAGATCACTAGTTCAAAAGTTGCATGAGTGATGCCAGATAATCTTTTTTTGCTTTGCTTTTCAGCTATTGCTGTTGAATACTGCCAAAATACAGGTGACACACCATTAATTAGTTGTATGACACTGCAGATATAGCACTGGTCCCCATTTGGAGAAGTTTGACACCTGTGGGCACTCATCTGCACGTGCTTGCAGCATTGCATGTGAACACTTCAGTTGTGCAAAGAAATCAGTCCAGACATCAACATGACCAGTTCAGTCACATTACACCAGCCTGCCCGAATAACTCCTCAGGGTTGCAGCCTGTTGCCCTTTTTCCCTCTCTCATGGGATGGACAACTGCATTAACTGCTATGGCAGACATCTGTCCTACAGCCCCAAATCTCTTCTGATGCCCAGCCTTATCTGGGATTGAAAAACAGGCATCCTCATCACCAAGAGATACACCTGTACCAGGATGGGGAGGATTACCACCATTTTGGCCATGGGATGTAAGTGTTTCTGATCATGGGAACACCATCAAAATAGCTCTTGAAGACTGCCATTGACAATACAGCCAGGAACCATTCCTTTGAAGGACACATTGCTTTATCAGATGGTGCATTTGCAATGTCTGGGTGAGCACAATTTAAGCAGTTGCCTAGGCAGAGCCATGGAGGCCTGGTGGAAAGGCTGGGTGATGTGAAATGAAGGCAGGTAGGAAGTCCTGTGCCTCTAGGTGTGACATCCAAGGCCTAAGGGGCAAGTTTTACCCATTTTTCTTCCTGCATGATGTTAAGCAACAGGCAGTAAATATGGCATTCATTAAAATTACCTTGTATACTTTTAACAGCCTAGATAATCAGAATTCTGCCACTGTATCAAAAAGCAAAGTTTGTTTTTATTCAAGGCCTTGTAAAACTCTAATTTCTCCCTCATGCACTGGAGCTGCCTGAAGTTTCCTAAAATTTTTAGTGCTTCTTAGCAGTCATTTTTTTCCCTCACCCAAGATGTGTTCTCCTCTGAAAGATGTATGAAAGAGCTGAGTGGAGATTTGCATTTCTCTGTGTGTGAGGGATACACTGCTTGCTCTAAGGGGCAGCTTTAAACTTGCATGTCGCTCTCTACTTTGCACACAAAAGGGGCTGGATCCTGCACTCCCTCCCTGAGGCACTGCTAGAAAGAAACCCTTGAGAGAAACTGCAGTGTTTGCAGCTGGGGCTGCAATGTGCCTCCTTGCAGCCTGCTCATCAGAGCTCATCCTCCACCCAGGAACGCACCTCTCTATTTCTGAACATTAGTAATCACTGCAAACAACCTCTAGTACTTGTGGAAGATCAAAGTCCCCTTTTTCGATCTTGGATCTAACTAGAATCAAGATCCTCATGCTGGGAAAATGTAAAAGCATTGCAGGGGTGTCAGTCAAGACCCTGAAACATAAAGGGCAAGATAAATGAAGGCAACCGAGTTCAGAGTACAGCAGAAAAGTTCAGTCCACGGCCACACCATGTACACAGCCAGGTCTTTTAGTCATTCTGCCTGTGCCCACATGCAGGCACTCACGGCTGAATACACACAGACAAGCAAGGGCTGCAGGGCAAGTGCTCGGTGCTCCAGCTGCTGCAGTCCCAGCAGAGCCTCTCCTGGAGGTATTGCTGGGGGCACAGTTGCAAAAATAACTCATTCGACAACACAGACCATCAGGAGGCTCCCACTCAAAAGGAACCTGTTTCAGGCCAAACAAAGCATTTCCTCAGCATCAAGCCCATCAAGTTTTTTGGACCAAGTCAGCGGGTTGCACGGAGAGCCCGCAGGAACCTGCTCCACCACCCTCCAGCCCTTGGCCCACATGGAGACGTTTGGCATCTCTGAGAAGGCAGAGCGCACTAGGGCTGCACAGGCTCTTGCAGCTGTTTGAGAAACAATGCTTCCCTCCTACAAGATGAAAGAAATCAAGGAGTCTACGCTAATCAAATCCTACATGCCCGCTGGCTGAAGTTCAGCTTGTCGTTGATGCAGCTCAGTGGAGTGATCAACATTTCCAGCGCTATGAGCTTGGTGGAAGAGGGAAACACAACAGCAAGAAATTCACCTGGCTGGGAGTCAAACAGGTGTATGGCAGCAGCATCCAAAATTATAATAATATCTTGCAAACATGCAAAAAATAGATGTAATAAGACTGATTCTTTGGTTTTCATTAATGAATCATAAAGGCTTTCTTTACATTACACATGCTTTTTTGGCATATGCTGCTAATATTTCCACACTTGCAAGGTTGGGGTTTTAATATTGAGCCTCCCTCCCCTAAGGTTCCTCATTTTTGGCAAGATACACAAGGTGACTGTGTGCCATGACAGGCTCTATCTTACTTTGGGGCAATCAGATTACTTCACACAGATGGTTTTATGACTGAGACCATTAGAGATGAATTGCACAGCATGTAAATGTACATTTGTTCAACAAAAAAAAAACCCTCTCAATTTCTTGCTGCTGTCTTGTCTATGTTCCTAAATGTATTTCCTCTTTCCAGCACCATTCCAAAGCAAAATTTATCCAATCCCTACCCTAGAATGACTCAGCTAGTTTCTGATAGGCATCTTAAGTACACATTAACTAAGGAAATAGGCTTTCTTGAGCTACTGAACTGAAATGCAGGATAATGAACCTTAGCCTTAACTACTGAAGAAATAAAGGCATCTATCCACACACAAAAAGTACACCACAAAAGTAAAGCACCAAAAAATAGAGAATATCGTAAGTACTTTAAAACAGGCATGTAAACACCCTCTTGTAGGAAAAAAAGAATAAGAATTTGTTCATAGAAACAGCTTCACAATTTAAAAATAGTCTGATCTGAAATCAATCCAGACACATTCAAATGATACACACTCCGAGTATCACAGCAGCACTTCCACTCTGAAAAAAAAGGGCTTTGACCCCTGCCTGCCGTGCAGTAACCCTGTTATCACCAGCTGAGCTTTGCTCTTCCTATTAAGGTTTGGCTGAGGCCACAGAGGCAGCCTCTGCCAGTCCTCTTCCTATCTACGTAATTGTTTTAGGCAAAACACAGTCTTTACCTGAGAGGCGTCTGGGCACATCGGTGATGGCTGGAAGTCCTGTGCCTCGGGTGGAGGACAGGGGAGTTGTGGAGTGAATGGACGGTGAAGTCATCTGGCTCAAGTAGGATGGGTAAGACTGGTCATAGGACCACGGTGGGGATGACTGTGCCTGCCTGGGGTCTTGGGGAAAAAAGAAAAAAAAAAAAAAAAAGAGTAAATTTTTTACAAGGAAGAAACATTTTAGGGCATCAACAACCTAACTGAGAGAGGTAGGATTACTGAAAATACACTCAATCAGTGCTAAAAGGAAGGAGAATGCAATGAAACACAACCTGCTCCTCTAGGACTCAACCCCTTCAAGCCTCGCTCTCTGCTTTTCCCTCCCCACAACAATATTTTTGGGAAATGAGCAGAGTAGTGAGCAGAGTTTTAAAAGATCTAGCAGCTGTGCTGCAGATTCCTGGTGCTTCTCATCCAAGTCTAACAGCATCTTATACCAAGATAGGCCAGTCCTTGAAGATTTGGACAGATAAGCAGAGAGCAAGCACGAGACCCAGGTCTAAGCCTGGGAAGTGGACTTCAGAGGTGGGGGACTGTACGGTACTTGGCACTCCTGTCAAGTAGTTACCCAGTTCAAACATTACACAGTAGTATTTTCTGACTGAAAATACTATTCAGGAGGAAAAAGGTCATTAATCTTATTAGCATCTGTCCAAAAATGACACATTTGGAAGCAGCCCAACTACCTACAGTCACCTCAATTACAACATTATGAAACCAAATGGTTTGGGATAACTATTGGAAGCCATTGATGTCTTTTGATGTACTTGCTACAGTTCACAATGTAGGAAATGGTTTTAAGGATAAATACAGTTTATTTTTTGTTGAAGCACTGGTGGATTGCACTAAGTGAGAGAGATAGAGAGCTAGTTTTACCCACTGGTGTTTGAATTCATAAACCATTTGCTCTCAGTTAGCATCTGATGATAAAAGAGGACACTGAATGCCTTATAAATTATTATTTTTATTTCTTTACATCAGTAAAAACAAAGCACTTTGAACCCCAAAGGTTTTTTGGGGGCACTGCATGATGAACAGAAAACTATCTATGAATTGGCTCACAGAAATAGTAGCTCATCCCTCCAAATCCTACCCTCTATCTTCAGAGAAGCACATCAAACCCACTCTTATCTGGAGAACCTGCTAGATCAGAGCACTGTGCTAAGGCCCTACTTTGCAAACAGCAATGTGACAGCCACATGGCATAAGCAAAGGCACTTTTTCAGGAAATTCAACTTTTTTTTTTTCTTTTTTAAACTCCTTTCCCTGCTCTTCCACACAGCAAAACCTTGTAGTTTCAGCTATTCCTTGTTTATTTTTTCTGCTCAGACATGATTTGTTTGAAGAGATGTCTGGAAAGCAGATACTTCCTTGAAGCAGAATAACTATATAGATATTTAAAAAAAAAAACCAACAAAAAACAACAACCAACTTCCCAGTTTAATTTTAAGAGGATTTTCCTGGAGTTTGTATCTTATATTAGAGCTGAGTAATATAAATGGTTAACATAAACTCCTCAGAAATCCGAATGACACTTGATCATTAAATGTAATGAACTTCTTTGTTTTAACAATTTCAAGGCTAGGGTTGTATTGATTGGCGCAGGTTCAAATCTGACTGACTGCAAGTTGTTATATCAGATATCGACATATTTCTGTGCCTCATTCCACTACTATAATTCACCATTCAGTCAACGGTAAATGATCTTCAACTGGGAACGGAAAGCCTAGGCTTGCTGGGAAAACAATCTTAAAATTAATGATGTGTCAGGCGCACAATCTCAAATTCAAGCTCCTTCAAACTCCAAGAGCTTTTCAATCTCTGCTTCCGAATCCAAAACAGAGTCCCTTAAAGTTTTGATTATTAGGTCAGCTCAAACGCTGGAAGGAAATTATACAGCAGGTAAAGGCTAGGAAAAAATAAAGCCTAGGCTTGCTGGGAAAACAATCTTAAAATTAATGATGTGTCAGGCGCACAATCTCAAATTCAAGCTCCTTCAAACTCCAAGAGCTTTTCAATCTCTGCTTCCGAATCCAAAACAGAGTCCCTTAAAGTTTTGATTATTAGGTCAGCTCAAACGCTGGAAGGAAATTATACAGCAGGTAAAGGCTAGGAAAAAATATCACAGCAGAGGATGTTTTCACAGGATTTTGGTCTAAGATGGTGAAAATCTCAGGAAAGGAGCTGCCTTCTAGAGGTTCATGCCATTTTGATAGTATATTTCTGTGCCTCATTCCACTACTATAATTCACCATTCAGTCAACGGTAAATGATCTTCAACTGGGAACGGAAAGCCTAGGCTTGCTGGGAAAACAATCTTAAAATTAATGATGTGTCAGGCGCACAATCTCAAATTCAAGCTCCTTCAAACTCCAAGAGCTTTTCAATCTCTGCTTCCGAATCCAAAACAGAGTCCCTTAAAGTTTTGATTATTAGGTCAGCTCAAACGCTGGAAGGAAATTATACAGCAGGTAAAGGCTAGGAAAAAATATCACAGCAGAGGATGTTTTCACAGGATTTTTGGTCTAAGATGGTGAAAATCTCAGGAAAGGAGCTGCCTTCTAGAGGTTCATGCCACTTTTGATAGTGCAGTCCTCGTGGCATGAGAAGATCTTGAGTGTCTCTGGCACCCTCACCACTTTGAACACACATGCTAGAGATGGTTTTACACCTAAAATCCTTCATCTAACAAGCGTGAACACCTATGTGAACACAAGAAGGATGAGTAGCAAAAAATGGTCTTTCAAAACAGTCTCTCATGCTGCACTGTCAGAGGCAGAATATGGCACTGGATAGACCAGAAGCATATCATATGTCCTTACAACATTTACCTTAAATTTATACACAGCTTCTACAGCTCATCACAGCCTCAGCTCTGCAATACCACATTATATATATGTAATATGTATTTGATTGTATTTAAAGAGAAAGAGAAAAAGGATGGACCGTTACTGAAGACACTAAGCAGTGATTTAACTGCTTCTGGCCCTGAAGCAGATCTATTGGACTTGGGTAACTCACCCAACCTCAGTATGCTGCAGTTTCTACCAAAGTTAAGGACAATAATGGTAAGTCATTCCCCCGCTATGTTTTGCATATTTAGTTGGTCTTTTTTTTAAGGTTCAGGGACTCTGTAAGTACCTCACTCACAAAATGAGGTGCTTATCTCAGCTGGAAACTTTGAACCCAGATACTCAGATGCAAACTCGAGTCCCTCTGAAACCAGAGTGCAAGCAACTTAGCTCCAGGGAAATGAGATCATATCTTTTCAGAGAATAGGAAAATAAAGAGGAAAACCCTCAACCAAATTCCAGATCAGATAATGTATCAGATGAAGGGTCACTGCAATTTCTCCACACCAAGGCAGGGCTAAGGTAATGGTTGAGTTAGGGTGGGGGATTTTGCCCTGGGGTTGATTTGCTTCAAGCATTACTTTGGCCTGTTAGGAGACAGTGAAGATATGAGTTTCACCAGATTCTGAAGTAAATATCCTAAAACCAGCCTCTGCTTGCTGACAGCAGTCAAGGTTTGCATAGACAGGAGAGGAGAAAGCAGTGAAAGGCCCTCATCTTGCCAAGTCACAGGTGATCTGCCAGTTCACAGGGTAAATGTTCCTGCCCAGCAGCACTGAAAAATTTCCAAAGTAAGTCCTTGAAGGTGGATGTGCAGCTTGGTCTCACGTGACACCCTTTGGTCTCAACAACAAATATTCCCTGCAATGCTGCTGGAGCAGAGACTTCAGCCACTGATGCCAAATCAACCCATCTCTTCTGGTCCCTTACACCACCAAATCTCCTGGGAGGAAGGAGGATGGCAGGGGCACCGTGGGCAGGTGCCTGTCAGTGGGGCAGATCCAAGCAGATGCTTGTGGGTGAAACTCAACAACGTCCTGAGGAGGGTGACCTCCTCCTCACTTTGTCACAGAAGGGGTGGAGTGGCTGTTTAGCCCATCCCAGCAGGGATGAAGCTACGAGTGGATCTGTAAGAGGTTTTATTGATCTGCTGCTCCAAAGACCAGCTTCCCTGTTTGCTCTGGCTGGAGCCCTCACATGCAACCACTCTGCAGGCCATTACCCAAAGCACAGGTACAGCACATCTTCCCAATTGTGAAAAGCACAGAACAGATGAAAAACCTCAGAGCTCTGAGGCAGAATGAATGTGGATTACTCCCTAAAGGAATCCTTCCAGAGCAAGGAAAAACACTAATATAAAAACACAGCAAAAGCTTGGGAGAAAGCCCCCCACCTTCCTGTACAGCCACCATGGGGAAGAGCTAGCAGGGCATTCAACAACAGCAAGGGAGGCAGAGGGCCACTCTGAGTTGGCATTTGCACTTGAAAATTTTGGAGTGATTAGTAAGAGCAGTCCTCCTTTTGTAAACATTTCTGTTATTCCTGTGTGGGTGTGAAGAAAAGTGCAGCTTTCAGCAGATTCATTCACAATGGGCCATATCGTGCTCTGTGAAGAAAGCTTGGCTGCAGCAGGGCGAGGTCTAATTTAATGGACAAACAGCTCCATCTTCTTTGCAATTCCAGGTAAACCTCAGCAGAGCGGGGAAAACTGAGTACTGCAAATTATTTTGTGTCTAGGTTTTACTGCCATGTTTATAGTCAGTGGGAAATATACACAGTTCTTGACCCTTCTGGTCTGTGGTTGACAGCATCAATGGACAACAGACATCAATACTCAATGGACAAGAAGTAGTTTTAAAAATCAGTCTAAGATTCGATGAACTGTATAAAGCAAACAAACAAACAAAAGAATGAAAAGAACCCAAGCAACCCAGTGACCCATTCTCCCACTAATGATATTGGCTCTCCAGTAATGTGACTTCTCTTCCTTCAACAGAAATGTTCTGAAGTGCCAATGGAGAGAAGAAAGAAACCTGTAAATAGCCCTGAAGAACGAGTTTTTCCACTGCTTTGGCACTGGATTATGAAACAAATAGCTTTACTGTAGAAAAAAAAAAATCAATTTCCCATTTCCCAAGCTGGGTTACATGAGCAAAACATGATGGCAGCTCCTCGCTGTACTGTCTGTATCACCCCAATGTCACATGCATGCACAGACTTTGCAAAACCACTGCCTTTTAAATCCAGCCATTAGCTCTAGCACTGCCTGCTGCTGATTGCATTAGTACTACTGCCAATACAAAAAAACAAGCTGTCTGGAGCTATCTTTGGTAAACACTTAAAGCAAATAGCCTCACTTCTGATCTTAACAAAGCCAAGATGGCTTTCTGCATGAGTAACCCAACTATTGTTGTAACACCACCCCGCTAGCAAAACAACAACAAAAAAGTGGCCTCCTCCTTTTCTCTGACTACTTCTTAGGCACATTTAAAAGCCCAGGGCTCAATCTGGATTGCCCAGTTCAATCAATAAAATCAAATCCAATGGAGTTACACCCCAATGGACACTAGTGTAATTGAGAACAGGTTTTGGCCTGAAGAACCTCTAAAACCATTTCTCCTCCCACCCTCAAGACTTACATTTCTAAAAGAAAAAAAACATAAACTGAACAAGTCAAGCCAGCAGAGCAACTAAATTTTAAAGGGGAGGAGGGGAACCTGAATGAACACTTTAATAGGAGGGACCCAAGTTTTACCAAGCAGAGGTTCACAATGGCAACTTTCCAGTCCCATGAAGGATGTGTTAATTTGCATAAAATACAGAAGACTGCAGCCACCCTTGAATTCATGACAGCAGAAATCCCAGCTCCATCACCTCATCTGCTAAGTGTTGTAGCTTTCATTCCACTTCCTAATGGGCTGAAAACATGTTTCACCCTATTAGGCTATTACTAAGTTAACTTTTCCAGGCATCCATCTATTTTGCCTGATGCGCTCTCAGTTGACATGCACCAGCTACCAATTGGTGTGTGCTTCGGAGTGTGGCTGGTCCCAAGTAAAACCAAACCTTGGCAGAGCACTTGCATAATGCTGGTGTAGTAACAGCTACAGTTTCTGTTTCAAACCTGTCCTGCAGCTGATGGTCTGGGAGAACACAGACTGATCTTTGAGGCAGATGCTGCACAGATTCATATCCAGAGCCCAGAACAATCCTGTGATGCGGATAGCTTTCTGCCTGACTCTGGAAAAGGGCAGCATCCAGGCCATTGCCTGTAAATTCTGAATTAAGGAGGGCTCAGCTGGTACCATTCTCTCCTCCATCTGAGAGCTGAAGGTGTTTTCTGTCCATGATTTTCCCAACAGACTCAGTTTATGCTGCCCCTGACACCACTCTCTGCCTGCCTGCCCATGGAGATGGGCTGCCCCATTAGCTTCCAGGTGAGTCAGCTGTGAAGCCTTTAAATCTGCTTCCTACAGCCCTAAAAAATGATGAGAAATGAAAGCATAACATCCCTGAAAGTGCAAGGGGAAGGGAAGAAGAAAAGGGAAAAAAGAAAAACAAAACTTCACGGGACCTGCTTTTGAGTGTTGTTATTCCAGTGATGAAAGTCACAGGTTGCCTATAGATCAGACGGTGCCACGGTGGTGATGGAGCATGAAACCTCACTTAATTCCCACTCCACCATCCCCACAGCCCAGCCACTGGGGTCCTCTCGCCAACCACATTATGCCCGTGGCTTTTCCTGGCTAATCTTTACCAATTGTGTTTTAGAAAAACAACAGTTTTCCTCATTTCATACTGAAACACTGATGCAACAGTGTCTGAACGGGAACGTAATCGGATACATGACCGAGTTCTGCGAGCGCCATTAGGGAAAGGGAAAAAAAAACATTAAAAAGCAAATATACCAGTATCCAAATGTGAACAGACAGGATTCTTGATTTATGGGCAGCAAGCAGGGTTCAAACTGAATCTGCATTGCCTCAGCAAAGGCATCTGCTTATTGGATGATTTGTTTTTTAATGACCCTTCGATGTCGCTTTTGTAGAATCCTAGTTAAAATGCCATGTTGAATAAGGGCAACTCTGTGCCTTGTGCTGCCACAGCACGGTCCTCTGGTAGGTTCTGGACTGTGCCGGGATTTGTAAAACCTGTACTGATACTCAAAGAAAATAAACACAACCTAGACAGTGAAAAGAAATATAGAAGTGAACCCCAAAGTGCTGAGTTCTTTCAGACTCAGGTGTGGGCCAGCCAGGCTTTAAATATTATTTCTTTTTAATCATGCAACAGCTATGCAAGACCTGAAGTGGAATGAAACAAAAACAGTTTATATGATTACTAGCAGTAATATGGATTTTGTTGTAGGAACCCAGTATTTGTTGTTAATTTTTTTCTTGGTAAAATATTAGGGAACAAAGGTAACACCTGGTTAATTCCAATAAAGGTAATGAAAAAATCCCTGTTTTTCCAACAAGGGTCTGTTCTCTCTTTAATACACATCCAAGCTGTGCCAGCCCAGTGACCATGGGAAGAAGCCAGTGGTATTCCCACAGAGTACTGCAGCAAAACAAAGAAACTGGTAGAGATGGACAAGCCAAACAGCTCCCTCCCTACTGCCACACCAAAAGGACAGACATTTAGCAATTTCCCATGGCCACCTAATACACAGTCAAAGAGGTGCCTCCTCGGCAGCATCAACTTTGTCTCTCGTTGGGACAGTTTGTGTGGCAAGAAGCATCCATTCATCCCAGAAGAACTCAGAGGGACTGTCTGCAAAAAGCATCCCAGCACTTTGGTGGAACATCAAAGCTCGTAGAGCTTTACAGATTACAATCAACATCCTGAAAAGCACCAAAAAGCCTTGTGGAGAAGGCAGAACAATTCAGAGAGCTCACACCGACATAACATGCTCAAGCTAATCACCTTATTAAATGGGAGGGCTACCAGAAAGCTAACGAGTAGCCTTTGAGGGCTGGGTGTCTGACTTCTTTAAATTGAGGAGACATGACTGAGGAATAACATGGCAAATACTGTATCAGATCACTTATTCACTGAAAACTTCTATAAACAGCCAAAACTTCATTGGTTTGGGGGAAATAAGAGCAATTTGTGTTTCTAAATTATCCCACGACCGTGAGTGTAACGAGCAAGAAAAGCACATAATCCACTATAGATGGGGAAGTCAGCCTGCCTTCCTTGGTACAGCTCCCTTCCCTCTGCCCTGCCAGTACCGCATCTTCCCTCTCTTGATGAAGACTTAGCTGGTGCTTAGAACTGCTGACTCCTCAATTTGCAGAGAAGACCGCGAATGCCACACAGCTTTGTTTCCAGTCAGGCTTATTTAAAGCTCATCTGAAGTTTTCACCTCCCGGATCTGTAAATGTTGCTGCTGATTCATTATGAGGCAGAGAAGTACCCTATTAATCAAACCCAGCAGAACATTTTCTACAGGAGGCATTTATGTGAATGAGAGCAGCATATGAGGTTACACTTAGTGAGGAAGAAATTACAAGGGGATCTCAGTTCTCGTGCTTCAGGGCATAAGCTGATCACCAGATGGGGTCAGGAAGAATTTCACCCTCAAACTTTCTTAGGTATAGTGTTGCACAACAGGTAAACTATGGAGGCACAAGGAAAAAGAAAAAAGCCGATCGTAGCCCCAGATTTTCCCTATGTTTTCTTGGGAACTATGCCCCCAAATATCGCCAGACAGAAGACAGTAGGTTAGAAAACATATTAGGCTTTAGTTTGGCAGTTCTTACCCAAAAAATGCTATGCATAAAAGCCCTGACTTCACATGTCCAACAAACAGAACACTAAGCCTGGCCCAAAAATTCTGCTCTGGGAACCTGGCAAGTAGCAGGTACCTTGTAATGGGTACTATTGACATATTTAGTATATTATAAACATTCTACCTTAGTTAAAGCTAGACTTCTAGATCTGGGAGGACTTTGTCACAACTCATGGGAACAATTTTTTCATTTCAGTTCTCTGAGTGCTTTGGGTTCAAATTAACCCACTTACTTCTCTTCCTTACTGCAAATTAATAAACCAGTTGAACTTAAAAAAGAAGAAAAAGAAAGCCACAACACTTTGTTAAAACCACTAAGTTTCAGCTGGTATCATGTCAAAACCACTTGAAACATGAAACCAGAAATCTTCCTAGGTTGACTCAAAGACTAATGTCTATACTAGGAGTGCTTTACCAGTAAAGGAATACTGGTATACAAAAGTAGCAAAGGTCTCCTGGTATAGATGCAACTATAGCAGCAAAACTGAGTTTTAAACTGGTCTAGTAAATTGAGACAAGAGTTTTGTTGATGGACTTGAATCTAGGCGAGGTTTTCCAACAGTTCTAGCAAGTGAATTGGTCAGGGGCAACACCTCTTCACATCCTGGATAGACACAAACAAATCAGCTCAAGTTTTGAATGTTGAAATGGCCAAAATTAGGTACAGGTTGTTTTGACACTCTTTTGAAAAAAGTAACTTGCTCTGAATTTAGAAAAATGACAAAATGGGTTTATTTTGTAGGCTTCACTGTTTGTTGCAAGCTCCTGGCACAGCTGCAGTTAAACATCTTATTTCAGTTTTATAATCTGTGACACATGGTACTTTATGATTTCTTGCAGCACAATGAAATCTGTCTCTCAGCATGCAATCATAAATGTTGCATACAACCCTCACAAGCAATCTTTGGAGATTTCTCCATAACCCTGTTCGTTTATTGTAACAGTGGTCAGCTCTGGTGCTAGAAGGAAACCACCACGTGAGAGGACTGTATTATTAATCTGAGAGAAAGAGCATTCAATGCTGGCTGCTTCCCTCAACACCAGTGCAAAATAAAAATGGTGAATAAAAAGGCTTGTTCTATTATGTACTATTGCACACACGAAGGACAAGGCAGAGCAACATGGCAGTTAAGAATTTCACCAGATTCCTACTTAATTTACACAGACTGACTATTTTGGACTTACAGCAAAAAGGTATTTTTAAAAAAGAAAGACATTTTCAGCTTCAAACACTACAGAACAATCCACTTCCCACCTAGCTTTGCTTGGAAAACATCTCTCCCTCTGTAACAGCCTCTTTTACTGTAGTTGAGACACAAATACCCATAAGCAATTACTACCATTGCCTGTGCAAGTCAAACCTATGGTTCTGTCTCTTACCTGTAATCTGACTCTGTCCTTGAGGATTAAAAGGACTTGGTGCAGAGTTCAGAGAGGGCCGTGGGCTCTGGGTCGGGACCCCTACTCTCATACTGGGATGAGGAATGCGCCCTAAATCACTGAGGCGTTCAGAGAACAAACTAGGTTTAGAGTCATCAAGCTTCTGTCTGTGCCCTGGAAACAGCAAATCATAAAATAAAAGCGTTAATAACAAGATTTAGTAACTTAACACACCCCAAAAAGCCCCAAAATGGCCTCTAAGGACCTGGTATTAGATTTACTGGATTTAAAGGTATCTCAGCTACGCCCGTAAATAAGCAACATCAGTGGGGTGATTTGTGGTTTGGGCATGGCTGTGCTGGTGAAAGCCTTATCGAGTACAACTGTGCCCATACTGAGGTGTAATGTGTTGCAGTTTGGATCAAAATAAGCACTTATGAAGACACCCACACAAGGTCTTTTTTTACCTTTTTTTCCCCAACTGCTTTAACGACACCAGGTAGCTAAAGGTGCAAACTTTCTTTTCAAATACCAAGCCCCATGTGTAAGTACAAGCTATCAAGTGGGACAATTATTCGATGCTTGGTTTATATGTTGAGGACTTTTGCTAAAAAAATTCAAGCACTTTTTCTCCTCTTTTTTTTTTTTTTTTTTTTTTTTATTCTTTAACTCTGTCACAGTTAGTCATTAGCTTTCATTCCTCTGGAGATTTTCCAAAAAGTAAACAGTCACTGTCATTCGAGAAGAGCAGTAGCACAAGGAAAATGTTCAAAGCTGCTGGCCAAGACTGGGTCCTACACTCCTTTTCATGGTCAGCCTTCCTCAGTGCTCCTCCTTCTCTCCCCAGAAGCAGGCTAATAGCCCTTGTGGCAGTGGGAAAAGTAATTTGTGGGTGCCTAGTTGTCAAAATGTAGAGGGGAAAAATGGCAAAAGCAACAGGATGGCCCAACTGATACCTCTCATATTGTCATTGAGATGTTTCAAGAGTAAAAGTTTTACTTCTCTGATTTTTGTATTTTTAATCCTAGGTTTAATTTCTTTCCAAAGTAGTTACAGGATACCCCTCATGCAACGGCACCTTTGAATGTCAGGCACAGAAGGTGTTATTTCTATCATTCAACATATGGAGAAACAGGCATGCACAGGAATTAAGGTTAGGACTAATTTTACTTAACTTTAGCCATTCATAAATCAGGCATCTAGTCTAAACTCTTCTAATGTAGACTTCCTCTGCAGTTAATGGAAAGAAATAGCTACTTCCAGAGGGCAATTAATCTAATTTGTCTCTGACACCAGTCTTAAAACGGGATGATTCACCTTCTGAATTTGCTTTCTCTTCCTTCTCTGATCAGAGAGGGAGCACACATGACTAGTTTAATTAGACACTGTCACCATTAGTCAACACTAAATGGAATGAATCTTAGCCTAAGTTACCAACGAAGGTCACACAAAAGGTCTCTGACAGAGCTGAAAGGGGGGCCCAGACCCCCTGGTTGCAACCCAGAACCACGTCTGCCTCCATCCCTTTAAGCAGTGCTGGGGCACACACACAAGCAATAACTGAGCAGGATGTTTAAACACTTTTGACAATGAGAAAGGTCCCTGGTCAGGTTTAGGCTTGAACCCTTTCAGATGATCCCTAGTGCCTTGAGATAATCTGTGTTGTCCCTCAGCAATGTGAACACAGCCATCTGTCTGGAGGCTATGAGAGTACAGCTTTGCAGACACAGTCAGATTGTCCCATCCATCTTAGGGCCAGAGAACCAATTCTGTCACTGGTTAATTTATTTTAAAAGCGTAAAGGAGGGCACTGAATTTTGAGACTGAACTGTCAGACTCCCACTCTTGAAAAAAATGCCTTTTACTCTCACCACAGGACTGAAGCACATGGGTCCACATCATCTAACTGGGATCATGGTGCCTATTTGAGCATATAGGGAAAGCCATGTCAGTACTAGATAGCTAATTCCAAACTATATTCAGAGAAATCATGGTAGAGAAGTGCAGAATTCAGGTTGGGAGATGAGAAAAAAATGGATGGCATTTTTTGGAGAAACTTCTCTAGCAGTTTTAAAAAATTAATTAGTTGACCCATTATTTTGTTCTTTGAAGTGTGATATTTCTCCCCCAGGATGACTCAGTCTAAGAGCACAGGGTAGGCAGGAGCTTTTTGCTGAAGGAGAAGGTGCTACTCTGGGTTAGAGCTGACATGGCTGGCTACTCCTCTCATCAGGAGGTATCAATCACTTTAAATGGGGAACAATTTTGGTGGGCTTGTAGTAGGTCCATAATGGCACCTTTATTAACAGGATAACATCTAACCTGGTAGTCTTTAGCCCTATCTTTCCAATCTCTCTAAATTACAACTTGTACAAGCCGGGTGCTGCTAAATCTGAAGAAACAACTTACACATACACGCAGTCAGTTTTCTCTTGGGATTTCTCCCTCTGCATCTTCTTTTCCTCCGCAGTTTTAATGTATTTTCTTTTCCCTTTGCCAGTCATAATTTCCTCTCTGTTTTTTAAAGGCATCTCCTAGCCCTCCCCTTTTCTCATTCCTAATCACATTTCAGCAAAATCAAAAGGACTCAAAATAAGGCAAAGATGATTAGCCCATCTCTGTCCTCACACGCCAGGGCTGACTATCTGGAAATGAACCCACTCACCCCAAAGTGAATTTTATTTTGAATTTTTGTAGAGAAATTCTGTGCTATGTTCACACAGGGCCCTCTTTGCTAAAGAATCACTAACAAACCAGTGCACAAGCTATTTTAACTGTCTTCAGATAACTCAATGAACACTTGTTACATAGGTCACGACTCCTGCCCCAACCTGTGCCAGATAAACCCCTGCTTTGTCTTCATCATGATCTGCTTGCCCATGCATAGCTTTGTTAAGAAAAGAGCTTGTATTTAATTATATGTGTTATTAGCATTATTATAATGAACAAGGTCCATCACAGAAAGACAAAATTTAGTATGTTACCAGTGCATTTTAGTGTAGGCACAGGGGGGATAGAAGGAAAAAAGGGGGGAAAAAAAGAGGAAAAGAGGAGGAAAAAAGAAATAAGAAAGACTCCCAGATCTGGTTGAAATTAAATGATCTAGAGATGTGTGGATTTGGGTGTTTCCACCCCCCAAATAAAATAAAATTTAAAAAAGTAGGGAAAAGAGAGCTATATGCCCATCTGGAAGACCCCAGGCGTCAATGGAACTGCAAGTCCCCAGAAAGCAGTAAGGGGCTAAAGGCAGACTTGTCTTCCCCTTCTGGACATTTTAAAGGTAGGGTTGTAACACGGAGTCATGTTGTGACAAAGAGATCCACAGGAGCCACACTCCCCCAGTGAAATGTCCCAGTGAGATGGGATTACATTACAGCTTTGCACGTTAAGGGTTACTCTGCTTTGATATAAGCTAAGACGTGCTCACATTGCAAGTGAGCAGGAAACCAAACAAAACCTTCATATAGAGGAGGTGCTCACACAAAAGTGTAGGCAACTTAAATAAATCTCTTGCCCTGATGCCTCTGCAGAAGAAAAAAATCCTATTAAGTACAGAGAAGCCATGAGGTATGGGCTGAAAACACTCTAAAAAGCCCTTGTGAGTAGCATATAAGCAGCAGCAATGAAATATGTGATACATGTTTAAAACTCATTCCACAAGCTGCTTTTCATCTCTCATTGATATATGTGTCCGTTGACAGCGAAATTCCCGGTCCCAGGGGAGTGTGCTAAGAAAAGCTGTATTCCTTGGTCTCAGTCATGAGGTGTAACACTATTTCAGGAAAAAAGATTAGGGTAGCAAGTGTGGATAGCTCAGGGAGAATCTGTGATCTGCTGCAGCAGTAAGTACATTAAAAAGCAATATAAAAGCTACATAAAGAATAGGATAAAGTAGTGTTGCAGTTATCCCGTGCCTGCAACACTGCATTTAGTGCTGGTTGCTCTGCTACAAAGATTATTTTGTGGAACAGAATTTGGCTTGCAGGGGGACAAAATGGTTATGGACACAGGCAACCTTGGATATAAAATGCAGTCAAATGAAAAAGATTGAGGCTGTGCCATGAGTTACTGAGTAAGAATGGGATCCAGTGGCCATTTGAATAGATCAGGTCACAGGTAAGAAGACAGGAAAGAGATGAGAAAAACTGAAAGTTAATAGACAAAATCTATACAAGCTGTTCTGATTTGTCTGTTGTCATAGTACAAAATATGATAGATACAAAAAATCCATTATTCATGCCAAATTGATGAGTAATATTCTGGTCTCTCACTGCTACTCAGCTACCTCGAGCCAAGTGCTAACCTGATTATTAGTTTCTGGAGATGGAAAGCATTGCCAGTAATACACCCCAGTACCAATTTTGGTGATTTTGCATGGATCAAAACAGAAAATGGCACTGAAAGAGTCCAATAAAGTCAGTGCAAACTGCCACTGTCGGAAGGTGCCTGCACTGCTGCTTCAGTTCACCAATCCAGGAGGGCCTCAGAACATGCTAAAATGGCCCATAGAAGCTACTGCTCAATTATCACATCCCAGGCATGGCAGAAGATGTGAGGAAGGCTTCATCTCCAGCTTAATCATTTCAGTTTAAACTAAACGAAGGAATGCCTCCCAGATCAAAGCAAGGCAATCTTGAGTCTGCTGGATGTGGTAACTGGAATGGGACGTGAGCTCGTCTCTCATTACTGAACTTCCACCGCCCTGCTGGAGAAGTCAAGATGTAAATCGGGCCATAGAAGAGGCTGACTTGCAGAATGTAAATGTGGTGTTGATGCTTGAAGATTTTTACCTCCTCAGGGAGGAGGGGTGTGTGTTTTTATCTTTCAACTTGTGGGTGTGGAACTGAAGACTAATCAGATTATGCTACACGTGGCCTTGCCAGATGCTCACACTCAGGGACTCCCTTTCTTTGTACCATGTACACCACCCACCAGTTTTGTGTATGTGTGTTGTTGTTTTTTTCTGGTACCAAGGAGATCTGGTTGCCAGATTTTCAACAGATGCTTTTATCACTCTCAATTGAGTTAGCTATTTTCAGTCATTGCCCAGTTCTACTTTTTTTACTTTTGTCTTAACAACAAGAAGCATCGTGGGAGTCAGGTGTCTCCATAAAAGAGCCAAGGGAAGGCAGAAAGATCATAAAACTAAGAACCTGGGCTTTCACCTGCTGGAG